GGGGCAAAGAGGATGAGGATGTGGCAGGGGTGGGGGAAGGGACAGCGATGAGCAGTCACAGGAGGAGTTTGCATCCTGCCAGTCTCATGCAACCGGGGGCAGGTTTGTTTTTCATTTTAAACTTCCAAACACACAGAAAGGTTGAGAAAAGAGTATTTTCAACAACTCACATACCCCTCACAAGATTGAACGATTATTAACATCTTCGGGCAAGATTATTTTTTTGTGAACCTAAGTTTTTCTCATTTTCTTCCTTTGCCATAATGGAAAATGAACCCTACCTTCCTCGTAAGGTTTTGGAAGATTAAGAGAGATAACTTGTGTTAACCGTTTAACTTAGAATGTCTACTGTGATGATTTTATTATTGAACTATGAACTAATGAACTATGATGATTTTATTATTATTAATTCTCTCAATATACACTTACGGAGCATCTCTGTGGGGTGAGACTTTGGAGGCCTGGGGGAGCTGGGGGTGCGTCTTGCAACTTGGTACCTAAGGAGACGTGGCTAAGTAAATACAAAATGACAATATAAGGCAGTATTCTTCAACCTTGACTAATGTTCAAATGTGTAAGTGAAAAAGAAATGTCAGACTCCCAATGTTGGCTTAATTCTTTTCTTTTAAAAGAAATCTTCATTTTGAAATAATTTTTGATGTATAGAAAAGTTATAAATACACTACAGAGTTCTCATCTGCCCCGATTCTCACCATTTTGCACAACCAGGGCATAGTTATCGAAAGTAAGAAATTAACGTTGGTACAATATTATTAACTAAACTATAGGTTTTATCAAAGTTTCCACGTGTGTCCTCTTTCTATTCCAGGACCTGGTCCAGGAGACCACTTTGCGTTTAGGACTTAATTCTTTTTAATGTTTTACTTAAAGATGTGTAACTATAAACCCAGCTGTAAGTGTATCATGCCTTTAGCTCTTATACACCAAAACAAATGTACACATTAATTTCAAGCAAAACTTTAAAACTTCAAACCAATATAATTCAAATTAATTTAACGTGATGGTTGAGACTGTTTTGATGCAAAGCAGCCACCGCTTTGCCAAATGAATATATTGGCCGTGCCATGCCAAAATATTGCATTGGGTTCTTTTGCATTGTCTAGCCCTCCACGAGCAGGTGGATTTCGTTCCTCCCATCACTGCCCTCCATTTGACCAATTGCAAAACCTTCCTTCTCAAGGCAGGCCATGCCATCGCGAGACTTTCATTTGGCTCTCACTCGTCCCTATCACATTTCTTCATACCATCCCCCTCCTCCTACCCGCTGAGCTGAGACGCTGGAAGTCGGGCACGTGGCACCGGTGAAGTGTGACCGTAAATGCAAACTTGGCGCCGACTCAGAGCGGTAGTACTTTTCAGATGGCCAGCCAGATGCTCGATATACTTATATCAATAGTGAAAAGGTTAACATTGAAATAGAAAAAAAAAAAAAAAAAGCCTAAAGCTTATTTTGAGACTACAGTTGTAAGCCTCAGTTTAAGAACGACTGCAGCGAGATTATACACAATGGACACTGGGTACTTAGATATTTAAGGCCTGGAGGAGATGAAGGATGACCGGGAATTACCGAGACAGTGCAAGGAGGGGGTTCAAGGTCGTCAGAGGAGCAGGTGCAAAGGCTTGAACAGGGTGAGAGAGGGGCTGGTATTTTTCAAGCTGTAAACCATCTTGGAGAGTGAGAGGCAGGTGGGGGGAGGGGATGGCTTGGGTACTGTGACTAGGAAAGTCCAAAGGTGGCAGCAAAGGTGTACAGATGTGTTCTTTTAGGCTTTGGGAGAACTACACAGTTTTTGAGTTGGATGTGACGCAATCAGATTTGCCCATTAGAGAGATGCCTTTGTGTCCTGTGGGAGACAGATTTGAGGCAGGAAAACCAGAATGAAAGGATTGCAATGGGCCAGGTGGGAGAGGATGAGGTTTGAACCCCTAGGATTGTGGGAACAGAGAGGATGAATATGACATCTGACAGGTAGACTCCAAACGATTGGAGATGGATTGGCTGTGGAGGTAAAGAATTGGGAGAGGCATTTTGAAGATTCCTTAATAGTTTCTGGATGGCAACTAATAATGGAACATTTAAGGTTAAATGGAGTCTCCAACTGAATTATTTTTGGAGAGGGGAGGAGTATATATCTTTATTTTTAAAAATTTTTTTATTATTTTTGTTACAGGTGTTTCTCCTTTCCCCCCATTGACACCCTCCTCCCGATCCCCACCCCCCAGCCCCAGCCCCAGCCTTGTTGTCTATGTCCAAGGTTACCCATACATGCATGAACTATTTTTTTCTTAAACAATTTTCAAGGTTTTGACCCCCAGGAGTAAATAATACTAACTAACGCTTACATAGTACTTACCACCCCGGCACTGCACTGTGTGCTTCGCATGAACTGTATTTTACTGAATCTAAAAGCTCACTAACTCTAAGTTGCACCATTACTTCATGTACTAGTAGAGGAAAAAGTACTGTCAATTAAACGCACCTGCCTCACAAACCACATCTTAATTTAGGCATGTTAAAAATAGATGTCTTAGACTCAGTGATCTACGGCATATATTCATTTATCTTTACAACAGCCCTCGGAGGTACAAATAAGGAAACAGGCAGGGAGAGATCAGATCAACTTGCTCTATGCAGGTGCTTTCCGGGTAGCCAGGATTTGGACCCGGCGGAATGTTCTGGAGCCGGTGCTCTTAGTTCCAAGCACAGGCATCTAATGTAGCATTATGTTTAAGTTCATTACAGCCCAAGGACTGAGTGCCTGGGTTAGAGATGATACTAGGAACACCGGAGAAACTGCACCGTCCTCAGAGGAACGCAGTCCGAGAAGGCAAGTGGGTCGAGCCCTCAGGGCAGTGACTGTGGGAAGAGCCGCTGGCACTGAAGACTAAGAACACCTTGTTTTATCTCACAGAAAAACACTGCGGTCCCTGCTTGTGTGGTTCCTGACTCGGAGCTCCGACTTGTCTTGCCGGAGAGACAAAATGCATAATTGGACGTGTTTGGAACAATAATCATCTGGCACAGAGCCACGCTGTTTTCATTACCAAAGGCCAACATGGATGGAACAAACAAGACTTTGGGTCAAGATGAGGAGTGATGAATTAACGGATTTAATCAGGCTCAGGGACCCCACAGATGAATGAACAGTCCTGTCATCAAGTCTAGATGGAGGGGGTGGTCAGAAAAGTACATTACAATCTACAAATATAATCGCTATGGGCTTGTTTCAAAATCATTCAAAATAAGCCAAGAAAGAGGGAGCGGTGAGGGTAGAGCTGAAACACAATGGGTGGCGTCACCTGCAAATTGCTGAAGCTAGCTGAAACATGCATGAGTTGAGTATGCTATTAAACTTTTACATGTTACAAACTTTTCCTATCATAATAAAAATAACAGAATGAAGAACACGTTCAAAAGGAGCCCATCCCATTTAATAAAGAACGAAGCTTTATGGGCTCTTTAAAAGTGACATTTTAATTAGCCTTCAGAGGTTGGGGTGACTTAAGGAAACCAGAGTGCTTGAAGAAAACTTCTAAGCATAGATATTTGGGGTAGCATTGCAGTCAAGTTCACTATTACTGTGCTTATAGGATGTGTTCTTGTATTTTGATATAATTGATATATCAATTAAAATCAATTAAAATGATATAATTGCCATAAAGGTATTTATACAGTACAGTGAAATCACAGAATGAGAAAAATGCTCAAAAGGCGAGTTCTGAGGAGCGGGTGGGATCTGGATATAAAGAGAAGGGGAAGGCATTCCTGAGCCCAGATGAGCATAGGCAAAGATGCAAAATCAGAACAATGAAACTGATGGCAGTGAAACAGAAGGCAAATCTAGGGGCCAGTGGGAAATAGGGTTGAATACAGTAAAGTGAAATGGTCTAGAGCCCTCAATTATTGACGTTAGTAGTAGGATATAGCTATATATCTAACACATAGCACTTAACTAAGGGGCAGCTACTATTGTTTTACTGTCAATGGAGTTTTACATTCTTGAAAATAATAAAAGGAATATTATTGTGCATAAAATTACTGTGAAAGCCAACCCCGCACGTTTTGGAAACGACGCGTTTTCTATTTTTATGACGTGCTTAAAAGGCGTTCGGTGACCACTGTGACGCTCGGGGCCATACTGCCTCCCCAAGGAGGAAGGCGGTCCTGCACTTTTCCCCAAAGAAAAGTATCAGGCAGAAGGTCGAATTTGGACTGGGAGTTGGACAGTTAGGACAAAAACAAAATTGCTAAACCCACCAACCCTTACCCTGCCATAGACTAATACAGCCTGTGCTCCAAATGACCCGCCTTGGTTACACGTTAAGGGAAGTGGGTCTTCCGTCCCAATTTCAAAAGGACCCTTCTGACTACACAGTTCAGCCACTTCGCCCTCAAGTGTTCGTCCAAGCAAGACTCCTCGGGCCTTGGGCATCAAGAGCGGGTCTCTGCTGGAAACGATGGGTCTGGTGGGCTGTCTGTCGTCGTCGCCGCACACTCGTCTCCAAGGACGTTAGATTGACATCCATTCTTCCCTGATCTTCACTCCTGTTACTTTTCTTAGTGTGCTTTCAATTTCATCCCTTAGTGGATACACGTCTCACCAATCCAGACCAATATAACACCTTTAACACGGTACTTGTAAAGAGCATCTGTTTGCCATGTTGCAGAAACACTGGAGAGAAAACACACCGCTCCGAATCGCCTCCACGGAGCCGCGAGGCGCGGGGTCAGCCCTGCCCGGGCCGGGCCCGCGACACGGGCTCGCGCGGCGACCCTAAGGGTTTGCAGCCGCTCAGGACGCTGCGAGCAGGGGGCGCGGATCCCGGGCCTCCCCGCCCCGGGGTCGCAGGCGGCCCTCCACGCCGCAGCCCGCTTCCCTCGCGACCCTCTCCCTCTCTTCCGGGAACGGCGCGGGCGCGGCGCCGGAAGTGCGTCACCAGCCAGCGCCTCGCGCCGCAGAGGCCCGGGGAGCGGAACCTCGCGTGCGCCGCACGGGCAGCGCCCTCCGCGCACCATGCAGGTCTCCAGCCTCAACGAGGTGAAGATCTACAGTCTCAGCTGCGGCAAGTCCCTTCCGGAGGTGGGTCACCGCGGGTCCTCCTCGTGGGGCAGCCGCCCCTGTCCTCGGCCCACGCCCGGCCTGTGCTAGCGGGGCGGCAGTCGGCCCCGACTCGGGGAGGTGCAGAGGCCGAGGCAGTGCCGGGGAGGCTGTCAGGGCCGGTGGACGAGGACCCGAGGGGCGAGCAGGGTCAGTGAGCTTGGAGGGAAGTGTCGAGTTGTGTAGGACAGAGGTCGCGTCCCTTTGGGTGTTCACAGCCGCTGTCCCACGGAGGGAACGTGGCCGGGTTGGTTGACAGTTCTCCCTCGTTTCCCAGCCCGTTCATCAGGTGTTTGTTGAGCACCTACTACACGCCGAGTTTTGGAAATACAGTAACGAGCGAGGCAAATGCAGTCTTGGCCTGTGCAGAATTCATGCTGTAGAGAGCAGTGTTTCTGAAACTTGCTGAAGGTAACTTGATGTCCTTGCGTTTGGGGACGTCAGTGTTGGAAGGGGCTGGGAAAACCAGTGATGCGCTTCTCGTGTTTCATTTATGCAACAGACCCAGTGAGGTGACTTACCCAGGGGCACACGTGTAGGCTCTGAAAGTTGGTTTTTATGTCTCGTAAGTGATGGTCAAGGTTCTGGCCAAGCACTTCCAGTGAGAGGAAACTTTCTGCAGAGGCTCGTTTGCGTTTTCCGATTACTTGTTAGATAGTGGATGTAAAACGAGCAGCTTTGTAGCATGCTGCTTGCCGTTGGTCGGAGTCCTGCCCTTGGAAAGCAGAATCAACAGAGCTCCTCTTCCATGTGTCCACCCCTGAAAGACATGGAGCCAGTGATTAGACTCTTCCTTCCTTCTCAGAATTCAGGTTACTTAATTCCTTGTCTTCCAGCTATTCTTCACACATGATCTTTCTCATTTGGGTCATTCTGCAGGTTTGTGGAGAAGTGACTGCATGCAGGCAGCCCTGTTCTAGGTATTGGGATGCACGGTGAACCTGCTAGGTGAGGTTCTCTGCTGGGGAAAAGGTTAAGAGTGACTAGAAGACAGCTGCTGTGGATGAAGTGTTTGGGATAAAGCCTTCAGGGAAGGACTCTTTACAACAGGTGACATTTGAGCAGAAACTGGGATGATAAAAAGAGCCAGTCGTGTGAAGATACAGGGGAGGAGTTTTCAGTGCTGAGAGAAGGGAAAGTGTAAATGCCCCACAAAGGGAATGCACTTGCATGGTGCAGAAACCAAAGAGGCACAAGTGTGACTGTGATATGCTCAAATAAGGGGAGAGAGTGGGGGCAGATGAGGCTGGGGAGGTCGGCCTTATAGGCAAAGGTAAGAAGTTCGGGTTTTCTTAGTGCTGTTGGAACTCATTGTTGGGTTTTAAACTGGGCTGCTGTGTGGCAAACATAGCTGGGGAGGATACGTGGGGATGAGTTAGGTGGTCCAGCTGAGAGATTTGGGTGGCTTGGGCTAGAATGGTAGCAAAGGAGACGCTAAGATTCAGTGGGATTCAGAAGGTGTTTTGGAGGTAGGCTAATGGGACTTGCAAATGGACTGGATGGCGGTGAGAAGTTAAGGGGAAAGAGAAAGGAATCAAGAGAGAATTCTTGGGTTTTGGATCTGAACATCTGGGTACATGGTGGGGAGGGGAAGGTAGTGAGCAAGAAGGATCAAAAGTTTTATTTTTGCTGCTTAAGATTTGAAATCCTAGTTAACATCAAGTGGAAATGTTGAGTAAACAGCTGTGCGTATTACTAGTGTGGTGATCTCTCTGAGTCTTCTTTTAAGATAAATCTAATTTATCAACACATGGCTTATTTTTCTTTACTTCAAATGTAAGATCAAGTAGGGTCTTTTTTCTTTTTAACAACACTGAGGTCTGTTTAGTGAGAGAATGAGATCATCAGCATTTCCAGAGCTCTTTTCCTAGGTTTCTGATTAAATTATTTGACAGTGAAAGTGCTGTTTTTTATTAGCTACAGTTTTATAGGCTACAGAGAGGATGGCTGAAATTTGTGACAACTTTCAGTTCTTTAGTGAACTTTTTTGAACTTTAGACTTATTTGTTCCTGCCCCATGTGGGATCTTAGTCCTATGTATTCTGCTGTAGTGCTGCCTGTTTGTACAGAAACTCCTGAGGGAACTTGCCTGCCTTCCCATCATAACTGATCAGCGATTTCTGGCCCTTTAGGGTCTCAGGCTCTTATGTAGAAGGAAGCCTCAGTCTCCTCTCCTTTGCCCCAAGCTTGTTTGCTCAGGCAATAGGAGGCCAATTATTATGTCAACTGCCCCCTTGATGAGCAGGACTTCCTGTGAGGAGGAAATTAATCCCCTGTTAGAGGGGAAGCCCTGGCAGTGTACCTTTATTCTGCTTGTATTAGGTTGATGTGAAAGAATATATTGAGTCCCCGGAAATATACTTTAACACCACTGCTAATTGAAATGTTACTACCTAAAATAAAATCAAAGAGTAGCATAAACTCATGCATTAATGCACTAAATACAGAGGAAAGCGCTGACTCAAACTCAGTCCCTTCACAGTATTAAGTCTTCAAATGTAGCCCCTGCATCAGGCATTATACTTAGGGTCTTGAGTAGTGAGTCTACTAGATCAGAGAGTCTTAAAGATGGTACTGTCATGTGTCTGACATAGAAACATCAATGTCAGAAACATCTGACATTGGGTTTGTGCTTTTAGAAATGACATCTGTTCATTTTTCTCTTGCCTTTCTTTCATTTCTTTAGGGTAGGGTTAATCATTACTGACATGCGAGGCTGGACTGGCATTTGTTGTAGGGGCTGTCCTGTGCATTGTAGACTGTTTGGCAGCATCCCTGACCTCTACCCACTGGATTCCAAGGACACCCCCCACCAGCTGTGATAACCAACTGTGTTCTAGAAATTGCCCAATGCCCTTTTGGGGCAAAATTGCCCTAGGTTGAGAACCACTGCTTTTGGGTAATTGTAATTGATTAATGCTACGTCATGTCCATGCAGTGTCATTGTGCTGCTGCTAGCCTGGGGCACATTAATTACAGAATGAAATTGGTAATCCAGTAAATAGGACTTTCAAAAGTATCATTCTTTATTATCAAGTGTCAGCTGTTTAGTCAGTTATCTAGTTTTGTTTTTTTTCTTTTCCTTTATTGATTTCAGAGAGAGAGGAGGTGAGAGGGAGAGAGAGAACATCGATGAGAGAGAACATCGATTGGCTGCCTCCTGCCTGCCCCCCACTGGGGATCGGGCCCACAACCTGGGCATGTGTCCTGACCAGGAATGGAACCGGAAACCTCCTGGTGCAGGGGTCGATGCTCAACCACCGAGCCACACCCGCTAGACAGTCAGTTATCTAGTTTTGTTCTTTGTAAAACAATATATACTTTTAAGAAACTTTCTCCCTTTAATGGCTTGCTTTTAAAAATTTCGCTTAAGTAAATGAAGTTGTTTCATATATTAGTTATAACCCATAATATTGGGGTTTACTGTTTTCTCTTAGATTGATTAAATGAATTTTGTGTGTGTGTGTAAAACATGGTAATTATAAAAATTTATTGTCTGATATATGTAAATATGTACAAGAAAAAAACCCCAGAGGATATGTTAACAATAGGGTTAGGATTACAGAATATTTTGCCTTTTTTTGTTTTAAACTTTTTTTCTTTACTGATTTTTAGAGAGGGGAGGAATGGAGAGGGAGAGAGACATAGAAACATCGATGAGAGAGAACATCGATTGGCCGCCTCCTGCACATCCCCCACTGGGGATTGGGCCCACAACCTGGGCATGTGTCTTGACCAGGAATCAAACCAACAACCTCTTGGTGCATGGGTCAACACTCAACCACTGAGCCACACCAGCCAGGTTATTTTTACTTTCTTTAAGAAATTTTTTAATCCTCACCTGAGAATATTTTTCTACTCTTCTTCAGATAGAGTGGGAGGGAGAGAAAGGGAGAGAGAGAGAAACATTGATGTGAGAGAAACACATCAACTGGTTGCCTACCACCCGACCCTGACCAGGGCTGGGGATGAACCGCAACTGAAGTACGTGCCCTTGGCTGGAATCGAACCTGCAACTCATTGGTCTGCAGGCCAATGCTCTACCACTGAGCCAAACCAGCCAGGGCAGAATAGTTTTACTTTCTATGTTCATATAAGGTTTCAAGTTTTTTTAACGGGAGCATGTGTTATTTTTGCCAGCAGAAAATCAATTCAAGTAAATATGCTTTAAAATAAAGTCTCTTCATTTTCTCTAGTGGCTTTCTGACAGAAAGAAGAGAGCACTGCAGAAGAAGGATGTCGGTGAGTGTTATTTTCCCACTGCTGCATTCGTGATCCATGTTATCAACCTTTCACTCATTGGCTGTTACCGTACTTAAGTGAAGGTTTCCAAGTGTGCCGTGGAAAACAAACGTTTTTCTTTTTTCTTTCTAAGAAATCTTTTGTTGTGGTTGATGTTTTCTTTTTTTTTTTTTTATCCTCACCCGAGGATATTTTTCCACTTTTTGTACAGATAGAGTGGGAGGGAGAGAGAGAGAGAGAAACATCGACATGAAGGGACACATCGAGTGGCTGCCACCCGCACGACCAACCAGGGCCGGGGACAAACTGCAACCGAAGTACGTGCCCTTAGCGGGAACCGAACCCGGGTCTCTCTGGACCGCAGGCCGACGCTCTAACCGCTGAGCCAAACTGGCCAGGGCTGGTTGATGTTTTCTTAGTGAGTGTGGGGTTTGATTTTACCTACTTAAATGCTAATAAGTTAGCCTTTGACTGTTTTGTGGATAATAGCAGAAGATGTGATACTCCTGGGTCAGAGACAAGGACTCTGTTTCTCATATGACACAGCAAAGGGACACTCAGCATGACCCAGATGGATGTCTGCATGCAGTGGGTTTGTGTTGTAGCTGAGAAACACTGAGTTGGGAAGTCCATTGCTTTTCTAGCAAGCAGTAAGAAAGCCTGCTCGTGGTCCAGAGGACACAGGTTACTGGGTTACTGTACCTGTCAAGGTTCCCAGCTGCATAAAGAGCCCTGAGAAAAGGTTCAGGTAAAGGAGTGGCCAGGGCCTGACAGTCCTGCCTTACCCAGTGAGATGCATGGGAGCGTCAGAGACCCAAGGGGCACTGTTTCCTAACAGATCCATAACTGCTCTGTTCTCCAGTGTGTCAAAATCTCTTCCCACTTGTTAAATCCATTTGCAGTTTTTGCAATATAGAGACAAGGAACATTTTCTTTCTAAGCAAAGTAATTTTGTATACAGGATATGTGAACATGCGCAATAAAAGATCATTGCAGAAGATTTTGACTCTTTAAGTTACAGCAGCAAGGAAGATAGGCATGTAAGATCAGTTTTTAACTGAAATTATTTTGGATAAATTTTCATTATATTTTCTTCATTATAACTTGTCATATGAAAGGTGACTTATATTCCCATATATTTTATTTGTTAGTCTCTGAAAAAATCAAAGACCTGAGATATTAAAGGGTTTTCTGGATGTGAGATAAACACCCCAAGGCAAGCATCTTGGAAGAATGGGCTTTATATAGGACTAACATTCAAACATTCAAACTTCACATCAAAGGAAAACAAAAATTGCGGTTTGCTGATTCTGATTTTCTAATTCTCTCATTCCAGTCAAGTGTTCCAGTGTGTAAGAAAACAGATTCAGATTATTTAGAGGCAAAAATGGTTCACTGACATTTCTGTCAACCATCTCAAAACTAGCAGGTGTCATCCAGATTGAGTGGGCCACTTCTGCTTAGTCGGCCTGAATTTTGTATATGTATTTAATAGACAAGGCAGTAATGGACCATAGAGTCATAAATAGTCCTTGTAATAGGCACATTATTATACTAGCAACCAGCAAGAATCCACACTTCTTATAGGAGAGAACCAGTTTTTGTGAGAGTCTGTGTTAGGGTTTTGGTTCAGAGAGATCTCAAAGCCTCCTAGCCTAAGTCCTCTTAACTGTAGATCAGCAGTGCCCACAGAGGCAACTTGGTAGCCGTTTCTTCTGTAAACTTAAGATTTTTATAGTGGTTTAATGTTTATTCTGTTCCCCCATTAGCCAGGTCTTAAAACCAGATGTTTTTTAATTAACGGTGGTACTTTTTCCTCTATGCTTAGCTTAGGAAAATAATGTATGAGCTAAGAAGAAACCTCGCTGTGTAGTGGGTGGGGCTGTACTGGGGGGTTTTCTCAAGACTGGGAAGCACTCGATCTTGCAGACCTGGCTGTCGTGGCTGCTTTGCCTTCCTGTGATGGAGAGTAAGATGATTAGACCAGCTGCTGCTTTTTCTCTCCTTGCAGATGTCCGGAGGAGAATTGAACTTATTCAGGATTTTGAAATGCCTACTGTTTGTACCACTATTAAGGTTTCAAAAGATGGACAATATATTTTAGCAACTGGTAAGCATCTTTTTTGTTACGATTTACATATATTTCATATCAGGAAATATTATGGTGGCATAGGTCACTTTTTAAATTACCCTAACATAACAGTCTGAGGAACAGGGTAGACCCAGAGACGTGGGAGTAGGGTACAGACTGACAACCCTCAGAAGAGGGGATTGAGGGGGGAGGGAAGAGATAAACCACAGAACTTATATGCATGTACGCATAACCAATGGACATGGACAACAAAGCTGAGGATGGGGTGGGGAGTGGGGAGGATGGTGTCAATGGGGAAAAAAAGGAGAAACATCTGTAACAAAAATAAATTAATAAAAAATAAATAAAAATAAATTACCCTAACACTTCATTTTTTAAAAACTTGAAACATATAGAAATATTGAAAAAAATTGTACAGTGAATATCCATTTACCCACCCCTTAGATTCTTCAGTAGTTTGCTGTATTTGCTTCAGTTCATGTTTGTGTGTCCATCCATTACCCATCCTGGTTTTTAATGCATTTCAGAGCAGGTTGCAGATATCAGTATACCCCTAAATATCTCAGCGTGAATATCATTAACTCGAGTTCAGTGTTTATTTATGGCTTTTTAAGGTAAATTGACATACAGTGAAATGCACAGGTCTTAACTATACCACTTGATGAATTTGACAAATGCAATACCTGTGTAGCCCAAGCCGCTATCGAGGTATGACCATTCCTTTTACCCAGAAACTTCCTTCACAACCCTCAGTTGACCCTGCTTCCACCCATGCACAGGCAGCCAGTGCTCTGATTTCTTTTTTACTGCAGACAAGTTTAGCCTGTTTTAGAACTTTATATAAATGCAGTCATACACTATGTGTTCTCTTTGTGTGAAACTTTCTGTGTTTGAGATTCACGTGTTGTGTCCTTTTTTTTTATTACCACCTAGTACCTCCTTGTAGAAATATACCACATATTTATCCTCCATTTGATGGACCTGGTCTATTTCTGGTTTTTGGCTGTTATTGATAAAGCACTATGTACAAGTCTGTTTTGAGGACATTGCTAGGTCATAGGGTAGGAGTACGTTTAGTTTGATAAAAAACTGCCAGATGTTTTTCCAAGGTGGTGAGATCATGTTACACTCCCACCAACAATAGAGAGTTCCCAGAAAGGTCACTTTTAACATAATTTCCTGTGTCATATACTTAATAGTTTTATGTTACTAAAATTTTATATGAGCAGTAGTCATCAGTATCAAAGAGCCATGAGTATGGGAACATTTAAGGTATTATAATTTAGAACCATTACCCAGTCATTTTTGGTTGTGATTTTTGGTACATATATCCTGTGTATTGTCCACATACATTTTTTTGCTGGCTTAATATTATCCATCGATGTCCCTTTTTCAACCACTTTCTTTTTTTTTATCCTTACCCGAGGACATTTTTCCAGTTTTTGTTCAGATAGAGTGGGAGGGAGAGAGAGAGGGAGAGAAACATCGATGTGAAAGGGACACATCGAGTGGCTGCCACCTGCACGACCAACCAGGGCTGGGAACAAACTGCAACTGAGGTACATGCCCTTAGCGGGAACTGAACCCAGGTCTCTCTGGACCGCAGGCTGACGCTCTAACCACTGAGCAAAACCAGCCAGGGCTCAACCACTTTCTTATTGGACAGAAGTTATGTACATCTAAATGCCAGTCGCTTTTGTTGTCAGTGGTTGTCTCAGTAGTAACACTGTCCACATTTCTTAGCTTCTAGTTTTTTAAAAATTTTTTTAGCTTCTAGTTTTATGTTGAGAATAGATAAGATGCAGTTTTATCTATATAAATAATAACAATACACTATGCATATTATTATATATAATATGTACTATGTATTGTATATGTAACATATATTCTCTCTATAGTCATGTGCCACATAATGGTGTTTTGGTCAATGACAGGCTGTGTGTATGACAATGGTCCCTTTAGATTACAATGGAGCTGACAAATTCCTGTCACCTAGTGATGTCCTAGCCATTGTCACATCATAGCACAACACATCGCTCACGTGTTGTGGTGATGCCGGTGTAAAAAACCTACAGCGTCGTCAGTTTTGTGCAAGTACAGCACATGCCATCACAGTCGTGGGCTGTACCAGCTAGGTCTGTGTGAGCGTGCCCTGTGCTGTTCACAGTGATGAACTCGCCTACAATGCATTTCTCAGGACGTGTCCCCATCAGCACATGACTGTATAGTATGTGTATATGTATATATTTATGTACTATACTATACTGTTTTGTTTTTTTTAATCGTCACCTGAGGACATGTTTCTATTTATTTTTTTCTTTTTATTGATTTTTTATTTTTTAGAGAGAGAAGGTAAGAGGGAGAGAGAGAGAAACATTGATGAGAGAGAACACTGATTGGCCGCCTCCTGCACGCCCCCCACTGGGGATTGGGCCCACAACCTGGGCATATGTCCTGACCGGGAATCGAATCAACGACTTATTGGTGCATGCGTCGATGCTCAACCACTGAGCCACACCGCCCGGACTGTTTCCATTGATTTTAGAGAGAGAGGAAGGGAGAGAGAAAAAACATCGACGTGAGGGAGCAACATTGATCAGTTGTGTCCTGTACATGCCCAAATAGGAATCGAACCTGCCACCTTTTGGTATACAGGACAACACTCCAACCAACTGAGCCACACCAGCCAGGGCTATATACTATACTGTTTTAAAACGAGATCCTGGGCTCTGATACATGCCAGTAAACACGGGACTACCATATTCTTCTAAAAATATCTTTATTATTTTTTTAAAAATCATTTCTTGGTTGCAAAATTGATAAACTTATATACTTACTTTACAGAAGTATATAAGATAAAATGTGAAAGGTCCTAAAACTGCACTGTGCTTATTCCTCCAACTTTTTTCTGTACAAAGCACTAACATCATTATTATTGAGTTTTACAGAAATGGGCTCATGTTGCAGACACCAGTCTCAGAACTCACTCGTGTTCTCTGTGCCCTTTCACTTGTGATACGTTGTCGCAGCTTTCCATGTCTGGTCATCCTCTTTATGATCTGCATGAAGATTTACCCTCGTTTGTTTAACCATTTCCTGTCAGCAGACATTTTATTTGCTTTTAATTTGGGGCTATTTGTAAATAGCGCTGCAGAGAACATTCTTCGTGTCTTTGGTACACTCATGGGTGTGTTTCTGTAGGACAGATTTTTGTAAGGACAGATTGTTGAAATACAGATTCAAGATGTATAAACATCACATAATTTATAGATGTTGCCTGATTGTCCTCCAAAGAATTGTAACAATTTATGGTAGTCACCAGTAGTATATAAGAGTACTCTTTTTTTTTTTTTTTTTTTTTTATCCTCACCCGAGGACATTTTTCCATTTTTTGTTCAGGTAGAGTTGGGGGGAGAGAGAGGAACAGAGAGAGAGAGAGAAACATCGATGTGAAAGGGACACATCGAGTGGCTGCCACCCGCACAACCGACCAGGGCTGGGGACAAACTGCAACCGAGGTACGTGCCCTTAGCGGGAACCGAACCCGGGTCTCTCAGGACCGCAGGCCGACGCTCTAACCGCTGAGCCAAACCAGCCAGGGCTAAGAGTACTCTTTTTAAACACCCTCACCAACATGATATTAATCATCTTTTTATCTTTGCCATTCTGATGAACAAAAACAATTTTGTTTTACTGTACTTTGTTAGATTATTTGTGAGGTATGTAAATGATTTGTATTTTATTTTCTATAACTTGATTACTTACATCCTTGCTCATTTTCCCCTTGGGATGTTGGGGAGGGCTGCTTCTAAATTCTTTTCCTTTGATATGGTTATAGTGAATCCTACTTACCTCTGAACAGAAAGTACACTCAACATATCTGCAGAATATTGACAATGAGAAGTATATCGTTTAGTTTTACATCACATTAATTTTTTTATAGGAACATATAAACCTCGGGTTCGATGCTATGACACCTATCAATTATCCTTGAAGTTTGAAAGGTGTTTAGATTCAGAAGGTAAGTAAGAGGTTAAATTTGAATTTATGAAGATAGCTTTTGATATTTGGCTGTTTTTCTGCTTATTAAAATGGGAATGGGTTGTGTATTAGTTTTCTTTGCTGTGTAACACATTACCATAAACATCCATTTATTAGCTCATCACTCTGTAGGTAAAATCCATGCAGGTGAACTCAAGGAGTCAGCCAGGGCAGACTCTTATCCAAAGGCTCTGGGCAAGAATCTGCTTCCAAACTTTCAGGTCGGCAGGATGCAGTTGGTTGTTTTGGTTGTAGGACTTGGGTCCTGTTTCCTGCTGGCTGGCAGCCTAGGGCCACTCAGCTTCTAGAGGCTGCCGGCATTCCTCGTTATCTGGTCTCCTCCACCTTCAAACCAGCAACAGCTCGTTGGCTCCTTCAAACCAGCAACAACTCATTGGCTCCTTCTCCTTCCCCTTCTGCTGCCAGTGGGAGAAAACTCTGCTTTTAAAGGGCTCATGTGATTCTAAATCTCCCCTTTCCATATAATGTGCCACAGTCTCAGGAGTGGTGTCTCGTTGCATTCATGGGTTTCACCCACACTCTCCAGAAAAGGGGCCTGTTTGAAGGGAAGGTCAGCAGGGGTCATTCCTAGAGTTCTGCCTAGCAGGGAGGGCAGGCTGAACTGGGAAAGCGCAGGTCTTTATCAGATGGCCTCGTGCTGGAGATTGAGGGAGAAGGATGGGATTCGTATCCTCCTAACCTGTTTCACCCAGTCCAAACTTCATGTGCTGCTAATAACAACTATTTTCACTTTTTTTTTATCCTCACCCGAGGACATTTTTCCATTTTTTGTTCAGGTAGAGTGGAGGGACAGAGAGGAACAGAGAGAGAGAGAGAGAAACATCGATGTGAAAGGAACACATCAAGTGGCTGCCACCCGCACGGCTGACCAGAGCTGGGGACAAACTGCAACCGAGGTACATGCCCTTAGCAGGAACCGAACCCGGGTCTCTCAGGACCGCAGACGACGCTTTAACCGCTGAGCCAAACCGGCCAGGGCTGTTTTCACTCTTTATTTTTGTTTACCAGATATACTATGAATGAGTAAAAAGTTATCTTTTGTTAAGCAACAACTTTTTTTTTTTTTTTTTGTTCAGATAGAGCGGGAGGGAGAGAGAGAGAGAAACATCGATGTGAAGGGACACATCGAGTGGCTGCCACCCGCACGACCAACCAGGGCCGGGGACAAACTGCAACCGAGGTACATGCCCTTAGCGGAAACCGAACCCGGGTCTCTCTGTACCGCAGGCCGACGGTCCAACCACTGAGCCAAACCGGCCAGGGCAAGCAACAACTTTTTAATGTTTTTTAATGTCTATTTTATTTTGAACGTCTCAGAATAACTGGCAAAATTTACAAGTCATTATGTATTGTGAATATCTCTATGTTGAATTGGCTTCAGTTCTGCAGAAAATCTAGTTGATCAGTATTGAGAAATTGTAAAGCTTTTTTCCATTTGGTGTTTTGGGAGCAATATAATATGGCAACTTTGTTCTTGATTCATGTAGGGGCAAAAATGGAATAAAAACCCAGCATTTGTATATAATTTTTGTGTAGAATTAGAACCTTTGCATTAAGTTTGCATTTTTATTAAAAACTTGAGAATTGATTATTGTGTTTTCTTCTATTTCTTATTTTTCAGTTGTCACCTTTGAAACATTGTCTGATGACTATTCAAAGGTATGCTTGGTTGGTTTGTACTGGCTGTCCTCAAGATGTGAAGGAGTGAAATTTATGTTTATGATGAGCATCTTTTTAATATATATATAATTTTTCTTTATTGATTTTAGAGAGAGAGGAAGGGAGAAAGAGATAGAAACATTGATGAGAGAGAACATTGATTGGCCGCCTCCTGCATGCCCCCCACTGGGGATTGGACCCACAACCTGGGCACGTGCCGTTACCGGGAATTAAACTGGTGACCTCTTAGTGCATGGGTCGATGCTCAACCACTGAGCCACACTGGCTGGGCATGATAAGCATCTTTATGATGTTCCCATTGCTGAATTGAACATGGCTGTGTAGTAAAACCTTTCATTTTCTATTAACATTTTTTTAGTTTGTTACATGTATAATATATAGTATCTTTTAAAACAGAAATAGAGCCCTGGACGGTTTGGCTCAGCAGTTAGAGTGTCGGCCTTTGGTTCAGAGAGACCCAGGTTCAGTTCCTGCTAAGGGCACGTACCTCAGTTGCAGTTTGTCCCCGGCCCTGAGAGTGGCAGCCATTCAATGTGTCCCTTTCACGTTGATGTTTCTCTCTCTCTTCCCCTCTCTCCCTCCCACTCTATTTGAACAAAAAAATGGAAAAATGTCCTCAGGTGAGGATAAAAAATAAAAAAGTAGAACAGAGATAGAGATAGCCTCAGTCTGGTCTAATGTGAAAATAAAACTTTCATATCACATACAAACCTTATCTGTATTTTTAAGATTTGGTAGCAGTCATGTTTTGTAGACCATCTTAGATTCCAGATGTGTAATTTTCATTCTTGCATTAAAACTAGTGTTATTTGCCAGGTTGCTTTTATATTTATGTGTGAAAAGTAAAATAGCAATGTTGTATGTTTAATTTTATTAAACCCTGCAAATAACATGGTCATGACATATTGAAACAGGTCAAAACATGGTCAACGGTATTTTTCTTTTCTTTCTTTGCCTTACTCGATTTCAGTGAAAAACTTTTAATGATGTCAGATATCATTTTGAAGGAAATTGAATTTTCTGAGCTGATATGACTTCCAAAAACTATGGAGTACAGTTTATTCTTTTGCCTATGGTAGCCATTTGTCATACATTTGGGGACATGTAATTCTATAATGTATTTGATCTAGATATTGATAAATTTGCTTTTAAATACCACCTGTAGATTTTATTATTATTTTTTTTTCCCTATCCTCACCCGAGGACACTCTTGCATTTATCTTGAGGGAGTGGGAGGGAGCTAGAGAGGAAGAGAGAGAAACATCAGTGTGAGAAAGACACACAGAGTGGTTGCCAGCCACACGACCCCACCTGGGGCCGGGACAAACTACAACCGAGGTACGTGCCCTTAGTGGGAACTGAACCCGGGCCTCTCTGGTCCGTGGGCCAGCGCTCTTAATTGCTGAGCCAAACCGGCCAGGGCGCACCTGTAGATTTCAAAGATACTTTTGTAATACATTAAAGTTGAGTTTATACAAGTTTCTCAAACCCTGTGTGATAATTGTGAGATTATTAAAATGGGAAATTACTCATCGAGGTTACTGAGCAGTGCTCTATGTTATAAAGTGTGGGTGCCAGATAAATGAAGGGCATTTGTTTTAAGCCTTTCAGTTAGAAGGTAAGGTTTTCAGAAAAGCTAAGACCCAGGGAGGCATTAATTACCCACTGGAGAGGTTTGATTATTAATCACAATTTTTAATCATGATGGAGAGTTACGTATATATACATGTGTTCTTACAGAGAGAAAGAAGGATAGTGAGGGAGAGCAAAGGTTTTTTTGCTTTTCTAGTTTTAGCGATGGTGAAATAAACACTTTACCTGGAAATCTAAGCGAACTAATTTTCTTGTTTTATTTTCAGATTGTCTTCTTACATAATGATAGATACATTGAATTTCATTCCCAATCAGGTTTTTACTACAAAACCAGAATACCAAAGTTCGGGAGAGATTTCTCTTACCATTATCCATCCTGCGACTTATACTTTGTTGGCGCAAGGTATTGGGTCTAAACACCCTTTGTTTTCTCCTTTCCCCTCATTCCACAGACAACTTCTGTTCTTAACATTGAGGAGGAGAATTAAACAAAGAATACGCAGTGGTCCCTGCCTGTCAGCTGCTCACAGGGTGTAGCTCCAAAGCGACTGGCTCATGGAGGAATTACGTCCTAGACTCTTGTTAGTGTGGTGCGCTGAATCTAGAGACATGGGTAACCTAGAGCGGTCCTGTCACTGGGGAAGTCAGTTTCTTAGCACCACTGCATGGCATTTAAAAGCTTTCTGTGCTTTTTTGTTGTTGTTAATCCTCACCTGAGGATATTTTTCCAATGGTTTTTAGAGAGTGAAAGTAAGAGAGGGATGGAGAGAGAGAAACATCAATGCGAGAGAGACCCATAGATCGGTTGCCTCCCGCACAACCTTGACTGGTCCAGGGATCGAACCTGCAACCCAGGTACATGCCCTTGACTGGGAATCGAACCCCAGACCCATTGATCTGTGGGCCGATGCTCTAACCACTGAGCAAACTGGCTAGAGCAAAGCTTTTTATTCTTAAATGCTGCCTTCTTTATGATTATTAAAATAATACATATTCATTTTAGAAAATTGGAAAATATAAAAATGTATAAAGACGAAAATATCACTCATAATTATGCCATACAGAGGAAACCCTTATGTCTTTTATTGTATTTCCTTCTAGTCTTTTCTTATATATACATATAGGTACATTTTGGATCTTGTATTCTCCATGTTATTTATAAATAATAGTCTACCTAATGACTTATTAATATTTTCTTTGCACATGGGTAGTTTAAATTGCTTTTATACTTGAACAAACTCACATATAAAGTGATTCTCTTTTAGGTTTAGAATACATTTTTGTATTTTACAAAAGGAAGTGATGTCTTATGAGGTGTACACACACATACACACACACACACACACACAGGGGTGGGCAAAAGTAGGTTTACAATTGTGAGTACATGAAAGTTTATTGTATTATTATTTATTGTATTATTATCCATATGAACAACTATAAGCCTACTTTTGCCCATCTCTGTGTGTATATAGTTCTAAAAATTATATTTATTTGAAGGAAAGTTCATTGTAGTTTACTATATTTTTAACTTTATTACTTTGCAGCTCAGAAGTTTATAGATTAAATTTGGAACAAGGACGGTACCTAAATCCTCTACAGACTGATGCTGCGTGAGTATTTTGTTTTAAGAACACTGCTGTATTTATTTTGGCCAGGAGATGGAGCCAGATGCTCAAGTTGTTATCAAATAATGTGTTTAAGCAATACTCGGGCAACTTCATTAAAAAGAGTAGCCTTGTTTTTTCTTCAACAAAAAAGTCACTGAAAGACCTGGTGATTTCTTAAAATTTTTACTTCTTAAAAAATATACTTGAAAATTTTAAAACTCACTAAAAAAATTTATTATTTTTTGTAGTGTTCTTTAAATTTTCCTTCATGATTTTGTTTTGTGACATAGTTTCTTGTGGAGAAATTTTGAATTAAGTTGGAGTAACATTTAAAAAGTATTATATTTTTGCTAGCAGAAAATTAAGGTTGTTTTTTTTTTATCATACATTATTGTGTAAACTTTTGTTTTATGTAAAGAGAAGTCCTTTAGGAATGAATCTTTCATCATCATGATAATATTGAGTAATAATAACAACTATAATAGTGAAAGGGTTTACTACACTAGGTTTTATTCAGTATTGTATACATACTAACTTATTTTAAACGTAAAACAAATTTTTATAGCAGTTACTATTATTAGGTTCATTTTATAGGTGGGACACTGAGGCTCAGAGAGAGGAAGTAGCTTGTCCAGTCACACAGCTAGTAAGGGATGCAAGTGAATTACTTCTCATCTCTGTGCATAAGAGTTGGTTGGATTTTCCTTATTGCTTGTAAACGGTTTTTAAAGGTTGAAAGAACATATAGTAATAAAAACCAGGTAAATTCTCATTATTTCTTTTCACATTGACTTGAAATGCTCTTATTTTATTTAAAAAATGATAGTAATTTCATGATGCATTGTTGAGCAATAAAAAGTTATCTGCTCTTTGGCTGCACAATTTTCTGTTTATTGTAACGGCCATTGTTATTGAGTGTCTTGTTAACTCTGGACACTGTGTTGAACATTTTGTAGTTTTTCCACTTAATCCTCACAACCACCAAATGAGGTAGGTGACATCTTCACTCTATAGACAAAGAAAGTGAGGGTTAGAGCAGTATACCCAACTTAAACTAGTCAAGTCTCGGGGTTGGCACAGTTACAGCCTGTGTTTTTGCCTTGGGAAAAGCTATATTGAGGAAGTAGAATGAACCTTTATTCTCATGGCTATGGAATCATAATTCAGAAGGACGTCCTTGCCTGTCTCATCCCTGGGAGACAGAGTGTCACCCTAGGAATCAGACATGTCCTTGATGTGGGCCGTTTTTGATGTGTGCCGGGCAGGTTAACCCGTTCATGCCTTGGTGTTTTTCACATGCAGATAAGAGAGAATTTGCATGTCTTCTTTCTCCACAGTATTTGGTTGACTGTTTATTGAGAAAGTTTAGTCCCCCTAAAGTAGACACTAATATGTTCTCCCTCATTGCTTTATTGTTGTAGGGAGAATAATGTTTGTGACATAAATTCAGTGCATGGCTTATTTGCTACCGGAACAGTAGAGGTAAGCATAATTGACTTGATTTTTTTTTTTAAGTATTCGTTTTACATTTGATAATGAATGAAATTTTATTTACACACAGAGATGCTTGGCTCCTAAGAGCGGGGTGCTAATGGAGCGAGTAGCCACTGGTTTGCTTTTGTACGGAAAGTTGTCACAGTTGCTGCAGACTGCCCATTATGCTTCTGATGTGGCATGCTTCGAGCTAGCTGGGCTCAGTGCTGGGTCCTAGCTTTGGGATCAGTGCGACAGCCATTCTTGTTCTTAACAGGAGGCGCTGTCATGGAGCCCCAGCTCCCTGCTGCTTGTTAGTTTGATGGCTGAATTACTTCCCTTGAGGCTGTTTCTCATCAGCGAAGAGGGGATAATAATCCTTACCTCACCATCTTTATGAAGGTGCTGGTGAGAATCACGTGGAACATCCTATATGAAAACATTATCAACTGGAAAGGCAAATGGGTTGCGATTTGTGCATACTGTATAGTAGCTTTCAACAAACACACAACACTTTTCTTTTATACTGTAGTACTTTTGAGTCTGTGTCCTTCATACTTGTCAAGAATTTTTCTAGATTTGCATTTCTAATTATAGTAATGTTAAATACTAATAGTAAAAAAAAAGAAAAAAGCAAATAAGTCAGAAACATTATTTTAAAAGTGTCCTCTGTGCCTTTCGGTCACCAAATTGTACATCCCAGAGGTAACTCTTTAATGATATGCAGTATAATCCCTTCGGGTTTTTTTCCCCATGTATATGCAGGTATACGTATGTGTTAGTAATACATTTTTTTAAAGATATGTTTTTATTGATTTTTTAGAGAGAGAGGAAGGGAAACGGAGGTAGAAACATCGATGTGAGACACATTGATTGGCTGTCTCCTGCACGCCCCATACTGGAAATCGAGCCCGAAACCTGGGCATGTGCCAGTAATCGAACCAGGACCTCTCAGTCCATGGGACGACACTCAATCCACTGAGCCACACAGCTGGGCAGTGATACATTTTTAAAAGTTTCTTACAAAAATGAAATTTATCATGGTCCTCCACTTGCTTTTCTTTTTAACGTGGCAGTATGTAAATGTGCATTTTATACATTGGTACTTATAATTACTTACAATACAAAGCTAATTTTTGTGAACAGATGGGCAGGATTCCATTGTTTGAATGTTCTGTAATTTATTAAATGAATCCCACATGGATGAAATTTGGGTCTCTACTCAAGTTGTTCTTATGTTAGGAGATGAGGATTTGAAATGAGACACATGTTGATTTTATGGAAATATGTAAAAATATATTGAGTGTGTTGTAATACTATTATGCCTAAATCAGGCCAATGGAGCATTCTCTTGGTGATTACTTTTCTTGATATTACCGAGGGGAAGTTTTTTAATAGTTAGCTTGAAAAACCAGTTTTTAAATAGAGTCCTTCCAGGGCAGTGTGGGCTAGATAGCAGGAAAATGCTCGAAGAGAAGTTATGTATCAGGGCAGGCCACTCTTCCACCAGCCCAGTCCTGTTGCGGGGTAGAGACCCTCCCCCAGCCCAAAGACTGTGGGGTCCCTGAAATTCCTTGATTGATGGGGCTTGGAATTTGATTTGCATGGTCAGACCAGACTTTTAAAATTCATTTTTACATTAATTTTGATGATATGTTGAATTTTTATTTCTTCTGTGTCAGTTACTAGAATATTATTTGTTGATGTCAAAATCAGGCAGTAAGGGCTTGCATGTTGCACTTTCTGAAGGATGTTGATCGCAGGCGTTAGCGATAGGAATAGTCACATTAGGTCACATCAGTATGGCTAAAAAACCATTTGTATTTTCTCTGGAATTTATCTGCATACCCATTTTTTGTTTTGGAGCTGGTGACTCTTTTATGTCTTTAAAATCTATTGACTCATTTTTTTTTTTTATCCTCACCCAAGGATATTTTCCATTTTTTTGTACAGATAGAGTGGGAGGGAGAGAGAGAGGAAGGGAGAGAGAGAGAGAAACATCGACGTGAAGGGACACATCGAGTGGCTGCCACCCGCACGACCAACCAGGGCCGGGGACAAACTGCAACCGAAGTACGTGCCCTTAGCGGGAACCGAACCCGGGTCTCTCAGGACCGCAGGCCGATGCTCTAACCGCTGAGCCAAACCGGCCAGGGCTATTGACTCATTTTGAGGAGACAGAGAAGACCAGACCACTGGAGTTACCTGCTGCGTGATATATGAGATTTATCTTTCTTTATTTAAAACAGCGATTTTCAACCTTTCATCTCTTGGCACACATAAACTAGTTACTAAAATCCTGTGGCACACCAAAAATACATTTTTTGCCGATCTGACAAAAAAATAGGTATAGTTTTTTTTTTCCTCACCCAAGGACATTTTTGCATTTATCTTCAGATAGAGCAGGAGGGAGAAAGTGGGGAAGAGAGAGAGAAACATCGATGTGAGAGAGACACATTGACTGGTTGCCTCCCGCATGACTCCAAATGGGGCCGGGGACAAACTGTAACCGAGGTACGTGCCCTTAGCGGGAACTGAACCCAGGACTCTCTGGTCCACGGGCTGACGCTGTAACCCCTGAGCCAAACTGGCCAGGGCTGTTTTGATTCATTCACACCAGACAGCTATTGTGTCGGCTGCTGTCATTTCTTTATCTGACAGTCTTGGGGAAAGAGGCCATTGCCCTGACGAAGCGGGCAGGCAGTGCACGTGGCGGGCGTTCTGGCGTCCCCGTGGTGCCGCTTGCAGCACGCTGGCGCAAAGCCCTGCCACGTCTGGGGCAGCACGCTTGTGGCAGTAGTAAATGATCAGTGGATCAAACCTTCCACATATATTTGAGGTCTTGCTTTTAAGATGGTTAATATTGTAAGCAATTTTTTTGACCTTTGTATATGTTTACATTTTTTATCATTTATGTTTTTGTTAGTCATCTAAAAATTTTCTGGCAGCTCTTATTTGAAATTTCTGGCTTTTGTTTTTTTAGGGTCGAGTGGAGTGCTGGGACCCAAGAGTTCGAAGCAGGGTTGGCCTGTTAGACTGTGCGTTAAGCAGTGTCACAGCAGATTCAGAGTGAGTAGCAGTGAATTTGCCATTTCAATATTCATCAGCTTCTGATTAGACATGTCAGCACTGAATGAAAATGCATTTCTAAAGGGTGCACTTCTTTAGACTTATGTCTGATATTGTAGTGTTTGCGATGATTTTATGTAAAAATCCTGTCCTGTGAAAGCTCACGAAGTCGGTGAGCCAGGTGGAATTCCTTTCTGAAGTTCTTTAGAAAGTAGAGTCTAGTGATAGAACCAGGGGTCCCCCACCACACTTAACAAGCAAAGAGATGTGCGTAGTATTCTAAGGAAGCAAGTGTTTTTGAGATTTTCTTACTTTTATCTGGCATGTCCTACATCTGAAACAATTAGGAAAGTAGTGCACACTTGGAGGATGAGAGCCTCTAGAAGCTAATTCGTAAGAAGTGGGAGCCCTGTCCTTCCCCACTCTCCAGAGTGTTACTGTTGCTCTGCTTGGTACATACACTGTCAGACATCTTTGTGTGCATATGCACACCCAGGCAGACCTGTCACTCTCTCGGCCAGATCCTTGACATGGGATTATTTGCTGTAATCAGAAAGAGCCCGAGGGTATTGATTAAATACAGCTTGGTAGAAATAATAGCTAACAGATAGTACGTTCTATTGTTCTGTTTTTTATATATTATATTAACTTAATACAACAACAACCTTTGATGTAGGTACTGTTATTGTATTTATTTTACTGATGAAATATTGACCAATGGCATATGTAAGACATTAAGAATTATGTTGCAAAAGCATATTTATTTCTAGGGAAAGATGTTCCAAATACCCCATTAAGTGGAAAAGCAAATCATACAATTGCCTATAGGGTGTTACCACGGTTTTGTAAGAAAATAGCACGTCAACAGGAAAAAATGTGGATGTGAACCAAAATGTTAAAAGTAGTTTTTTCTGCTGATTCAGTTTCAGGTTTTATTTCTTTTATGCTTAGTTTAATTTTTTCCTGCATAAACGTTATGTAAGCTGCCGCCTCTGTTATTCGACAGGAGTGGCGTTCTAGAAGTTGGAGCCGATACAGTAAGAGAGATACATGTGGATATTGGATAGGGAAGACAGGCTGTCAGTGTTTGCAGATGGCATGATTGTCTGCTGAGAGACCCAGTAGAATCCACTGGAAAACTGTAGGAACTATTAGGAGAGTTAAGTAAATTGGTTACAACGTCAATGTACAGAATCAATGGCTTTGGTATTTATCAGCAATATACAGTTAGAAAGGTACAGTGGAAAACAGTTGCATTTATAACAACAAAACTTGTAAAATGCTGAGCGATAAACGTAAGTACCTATCTGAAGAAAATGACAATTCTATTAGGAAGCAAAGTTTAAAGAGGTGAAGAAAAAGAACATGTTATTGCACTGAATACTGATTGGAGGGTTGATTGTGAAGAGTAAACGACTGGGAATAATATAGATGAACGGCCTCAAGGTCTCAGACTGATGCTCATTGTAGTCTTGGGCTGAGGCTCTAGGTGGCATAAGAAACAGGATGCTAGTGGTCAGCGGCCCGGACTGGGGGTCCTGGGCCAGGGGCACAGACAGTAAGTGGTGAAATTAGGACTGTTGTTCGCTTCTGACTTGTCGTCCAGCACCTTTTCCACCACGGATCGTTGCTTTCGGTGCTGAGAAGCATGTTCCAGGTTCATGGCTGTAACCATTCATTGTTCTTTGTTACTTTTAGAGATTTCGGGGTTCCCATTTGCACCCTAGTCTTTTATTTAAGCTTGACGTCACTAACTTTAAAAAGTGAAGTGATTATACTCATGCCTCAATATAAAATTGTTTTCTCTTAAGCAAAAAGGGAGATGGTTCTGTAAATACTTTATCTTGGCTTAATTGAAGTGAGAGATATTGTCATACTGAGTTTTGTGTTTTTGTTTTTTTTTAATTTTTTTCCTTTTATTGATTTCAGAAAGAGAGGAAGGGAGAGGGAGAGAGAGCTAGAAACATCAATGAGAGAGAACATCGATTGGCTCCCTACTGCATGCCCCCACTGGGGATCGGGCCCACAACCTGGGCATGTGCCCTGACTGGGAATCGAACCAGCGACCTCTTGGTGCATGGGTCGACGCTCAACTACTGAGCCACACTGGATGGGCTTACTGACTCTTTTTAATTGATTTTATATTTTCAGAAGTGTTTTTGTTTGTAGCTTCTTTGAGACCATTCCTTACAGTGTTTGAAGATAGTCTATAGATTTTAAAGGTAGATTGCATTTATATGTAGAGCTTATTTTTTATTTTGACTAAGAAAGTTTGGATACAGTTACCTTTTCAAAAGACAGCTAGAGATATGATTTTCCCTATTAGAACTGAAGTAAAGATTAACAGTAAATTTGTTATGTGAAAGAAGGTTTGGCCATATACACAGGGAATGTGAATATTTTGCCTTTCAGGATAAACAGTTTACCAACAATCTCTGCTTTGAAATTTAATGGTGCCTTGACCATGGCGGTTGGAACATCCACAGGGCAGGTAAGTGTGTTTAAGTTGGAAACTTCACACTCGAGTTGGTGTTCAGGTACGTGTATGTATCATGGGAAACACCCACATATCTTCACTGTGGGGGCAGAGAGTGAGGCACTGTCCAGGGTGGGGCAAAAGGAGGTTTACCGTGTGAGTACGTGAAACACAGAGTTCATTCTTGTGTTATTATTAATTATTGTGTTATCTTCGTACAGACAGCTGTGAGCCTGCTTTGCCAACCCCTGTATATTTGGCAGAGTGGAGAGAGCTCCAGAACGCAGTGTTCTTTCAGCGCCTGGAGAAACTTTGGTTCTGACCTTGGCGGCTGGTCTGAGGCTCTCGAGCCGGGACTACAGTGGGCTATATTCTCTTGACTGTATTTCCCATAGTGTCTGCAACAGAACTCTGTGGGCAAAACAGTTTGGAATTCTGCCAGAATCCCACTCTTGGAGATTTGTAGTGCATTTAAATATATATTGAAGACTCTGAGAATTCCTATAGACAAGAAAATGTTTAATAAGTTATTTCCATGATGTGTTTGTCCCGGCATCTGTTTTTCACTTAGCACCATTAACCAAAGCCCATGCAGTGGGCGGTCAGGGAAGCGCAGCTCCGCACAGGCTGGTCTGCAGAGCAGAATGAAAGGGCTGCAGAGGTTCTGTTCCATCCTTCTTTCCTTCAAGGCAGAGCCCACGCACCTGTGCGTTTGCTCTCCCCTCAGAACAGGTCTGAGACCCAGCTTCTAGGACATTTACTACCTCTGCCATCATGTCGAGAGAGGATCTGTCACTGGGATGAATATCAGCTTCCCCAGGCTTCTGGTTTCTAATGACAGGAGGGCTCAGAAGAGACACCCCCTGCCACCACCAGCTGTCTCGAATCTCCAGGACTATCTCTTCAGGCCTGTCCTGCTTTTTTCTGTCACTCCCTGTGACTATGCCTGGTACACAGTAGGCCCTCAGTATATATGTATTTGTTGAATTCCCAAACGACACAAATTATTTTTGTTCCTTAGTATAGCTCAGTAGTTCTCCGTCTTAGTGTGCTTAAAATTTACTCTCAGGGTTGAACTCATAAAGCCATGTATATTAAGGGTACTTTAAACGACTTTTCTAGAGCGTTTTTGCTGGCCGACTCTGGGATCTTTGTACCCTGCGTGAAGGTGTTCATTGTGCTCATAAAAAAGTGAAACAAATGGCAGCCACTATTGTAAGTTTTAAAAGTTGCTTTTAAAGGTAAAATATTTTGTATGATTAACTAGAAATAACTTGTTTTTTTTCTTTTAGGTTTTATTATATGATCTCCGCTCTGATAAGCCACTGCTAGTTAAGGATCATCAGTACGGGCTGCCCATTAAGTCCATCCATTTCCAGGATTCTTTAGATTTGATTTTGTCTGCAGACTCTCGAATTATCAAAATGTGGAATAAGAACTCAGTACGTATGTTTTTGTTGAATTTTCTATTAAAAACAATATTTTCTTAAGAATATGTGATGTTCTGTCTCCTCAACTCCAAATATCATTTAAAAAGTCACAAAATCCTATATTGCTGGTTTAAATCTGCCTTCTGCTTTTCATTTTAAAACCTAGGTATTTTGAGAGAAGTTAAAGGGTAGTTCATCAACTAAGTAAAAAAACATTCTTTCAGTATAGCAATTGCTTTTAAGAGTTCTTTGCGTTTAATTAATTACAAACTTAGCATCTTTAGTAAAAAGTATCACTTTTTTTTTTTCTTTTAATTCTTTTTTTTTTCTCTAATCTTCGCCCAAGGACATTTTTCCATTTTTTGTTCAGATAGAGTGGGAGGGAGAGAGACGGAGAAACATTGATGTGAAAGGGACACATCGAGTGGCTGCCGCCCGCATGACCCAACCAGGGCCAGGGACAAACTGCAACCGAGGTACGTGCCCCCAGCGGGAACCGAAGCCGGGTCTCTCTGGTCCGCGGGCCGACACTCGAACCGCTGAGCCAAACCGGCCAGGGCTGTTAATTCATTTTTGAGATGAAGTGAGTGGAAGGTCCAGCAGCCTCCACATTACTTTCCAGAGGTCAAGCATCGGTCATTCTCGTGGGGCTGCCTGTGCTCAGGGTGGAGGTGTCGCCGGCAGCCCCATCACCACTCAGCTACTTGTCAGAATCCCTGGCTGCTCAGACCATTGCTTTTGTTTCTTATTTTTATTTTGTTAGTTCCCAAAGTATTGACCTTTCTTAGCTTACTTTCTCGTTCCCTCTGAATCTGGGTGTGTTCTGCCTCTCAGACCCTAGTATGTTCTCAGCTCCTGGGACCTGACTTAGTTAGAGACAGGGAGGACTTCCAGCTTGTCTCTTCTTGGAAGAGTTTCCCAAATTGCTGGGAACCGACTATGCTGATTTCATTGGTTGGTTTTGAGTTGGGAGAGTTTGAGGGCTTTCTTGGGATGTTTCGTGGTATCATAGGCTGGAATTTTCTCTGCTAATCCAAATTAATGTGCTTTAAAACAGTATTTTTAATAGTACATATACTGACATTTTATTTTTTAAAACTCATAAAATACTAGGCAGGTAGAAGTTACCCTTGATCTGGTTTCCATCCTAGTTCAAGGTAATGATGTCAGTTTGCATGTACCCTCCCAGACCCTTTAACCGTGGCAGCGTTTTCCCTAATGTGGAATTCTTGTCTTTTTGTTCCATACTATTGTAGTTCTCTTTTTCCACTTCCTTTTTCTTTCCTCTTTCCTTCCTGTTTCAGTGGGAATTTGAAAAGAAAGGAAGGTAGCTATGTGAACTTCATTGTCTTGAATTAGACCTGGCTACTGTTTTTCACTGAGCGTGAAATAACCACCTTCCCCATACGTTAGCCCCTCCCCCCCTGCCATGGAAGCCTCTGCTAACGAGTTAACACGTGCAGGAGCTGGCAGCCTTTCTCAGCATCAGCTCTTGAAATCATCATGCTATAGTTGCTACAGTAAGTTTCCTTTTGGCATCGTTATGACTGAAGACACCTTCTTGACCGACACCCAGATGTCTTGGCTTTGCTTGACTGACTTTTCTTGTTTATCTTTCTTATCTCTTCTTTCCATACCCATCTTCTCTCTTTTTTTGCCTTATTTTCCTTTTCTTAATTTTTTTTTTTTGTTTAATCCTCACTCAAGGATATATTCTCATTGATTTTTAGATAGAATGGAAGGAAGGGGGAGAGAGAGAGAAAAACATCAATGTGAGAGAAACACATCAATTGGTTGCCTCCCATAAATCCCTCACCAGGCCTGGGGATCGAACCTGCAACCCAGGTATGTGTTCTTGACTGGGAATTGAACCCTTGACCCTTCGGTCCTAAGCCAAACCAGCAGGGCCCTTCTCTTAATTTTTTAAAAAGAGCACATTTCCTCTCACATTTAAAATGAGACTTTCTTAGGCTTAAGTATATAATAAGCATCACTTTATTCATGTATAAGACTTCATTTTATAAGTTATTTTATTTTATCTCCCTCAAAGCCTGTGGCATAGGTACGGTACTGATGATCTCTCCTAATTTGGTTTCCCTGAGTACCAAGTTTAATCAGGGTGTTTTCCAGATTAGCCTCACTTTTTACAATTGATGTATAACTTTATTTTACACTTTACCCTTTCCTGTTGTGTAGACATTATCTTAAAACTTTGTATTTATTTTCTTGGATATTACCTCTCCCCCCAGGCCTCAATTTCTTTGTCTCTAAAATGATAAATTGATCAAATGAATTTTCTAAGATTTTTTTTTTTACCTAAATTCTGTGATTTTTTTCTTCACATAGCAGTGTTTGCTTGAGTTATGTCTCCAGTAGGTTTTCTTTGTGTGAGATTGCCCAAAGCTGCCTTCCTTTAACGATTTTAATGATTCCTTTTTGCTTACTCTTTTAGGGGAAGATATTTACTTCCTTGGAGCCAGAACATGACATTAATGATGTCTGCCTCTATCCCAACTCAGGTATGCAGTATGTAGCCACGGGTCATTCAGTGATACAAATCTAAGTCATGCTTTATTGGATTTTAACTTGTTTATCTCTTAAGACAGTTTGACTTTGTCAGGACAGTTCTTGGATATTGTATGTACTTGAAGAATCAGGAGCAGGAAGTGGTGTGGGTGATTCAGAAAGCGGCCCTCTTGGTGACTCAGTCCGTGCCTCGCTGTTAGTAGGAGCTGGTGACAGAGTGTAGGCAGGTGGCAGGTGAGATGCTGTTTTAGTGGGCTCTTTCGCTCTTTTATGCAGTGAGTAATAGCCTGTGGGAATCCAGGTTAGGGACTGGGAGAAGGTGGAGGTTGCCTGGTGATACACAAGGCTGTGAAACCCTGGGTGTTGGTTTGTTGCGTGCAAATTATAAGGCAGATTTCAGGATCTAACAGTACCTTCAGGGCAATCTGAAGAATTTGGGGTATGAGAGAAAACGTGAATAGTTCCCACTCTCAAGCATTGTTGTACTCTGAGGACAGAAATACACAGATAATGTTGACGGAAGGATACAGGCAGAGCAGGAAAGCTCTCACGGGTGTCCAGACAGCACTTTGATAGCACGCTAGCGAGGGGCTCAGCCAGAGCACTGGAGGAGATCGTGGAGACTTTCGCTTGCGCCGAGTGTGGGGTGATGAGTGCGACCTGGTTGGTGGCGTCGGAGACGAGGTGATGCATGCGAGAAGTGGGAGAAGAGCGAGAGGCTGGGGTCGGGGAGGTAACGTAGGCTGGGCTCCGCTACGACGTGATACCGAACCACAGGACGTGATGCGTGGGCTCACTTGGGAAAGCAGAGGTGCCTCGTTCCAGGGTGTGAGGTTGGAAAGCAGGTGGGGGGCATGCAGGAGGCGGCCAGTCAGTGTTCTCTCTCATCGATGTTTCTGTCTCTCTCTTCCTCTCCCTTCCTCTCTCTCTAAAGTCAATAAAGAAAAAAAATTAAAATAGTCGGGGGTGAGTCGAATTCTGATGTGTTCAGGAATAAATTTCAGACGAGGGTGCTGGCGGCCTAGTCTAGTCCGTATTGAATGGTCCAAAATGGGGCCTGGGCTAAGTCCAAAGATGAGTGAAACCGGTGGAACTGAAGTTAGAACAGAGGTGCTGTGCTGTGGGTTAAATATCCGGACAGCAGTAACGCCCAGACAGGGCTGCCGGTCCTCCGTGTGAGCTCCCAGCCCGCCCAGTCAGCCCGGGCCCGGAGGGTGCGCGAGCGTGCTCTGTTGAGGAGGCCGCCAGGTGTCTTCTTGGCAAAGTACGCTTTTATGAAAGGTAAAAATTTCGAGAGTGATGTTTTGGACAGAGGCCATGACTTTCCTGTCAAATAACTGATACGAGGTTAATCAAACACAAAACTAGCCAAATTTATTCCGTGCGCTAGTGAGCACAGTCAGGCAGGTACCTCCACTGCTCCCGGGCTGGTCCCGGCGCAGCTGATTCACACGCTCATGTCCCTCCCTTGCTTCGCCTCGCCTTCTCCCTCTAACGCTGCTCTTTATGTTTTGTGCTTAATCACTAGGACTGAATCATATTTTAGAAAAGCTAAAATGTTCCTCTTTCTTTATCTGCTCTCTTACTCATTTTGGAGTAATTAAAGCCAAATTACAATTACTTTTTGTAGTGGTTTTCTAATACTCAGACTGCCCAGAATATTGGGAAATGGGTCCGCCCTCCCGGTTCCTCTTACCCTCCTGCTCGTGTTGCTCAGTCCAGCCGACTCTGGGTCAGGGCACCCGAGAGCCTGTACTCCCTTGGACGCGGGCTCGTGTCAGCTTCGCTCGGTGTGCCGAGCTCACTGTGGCAGAGCCCGCCCCAGCCCTGTGCAGGCAGGGCCACTGGTTCCAGAGCTGCCGCAGAGAGACCCTGACTCAGGAAGCCCTGACGCAGGCTTCGTGACCATGCAGGTGACCCAACCCCCGTCCCTACCTGCTTCACAGGCTGTGGAGACTGCCTCTGCTGTTAAGTGTGAAGTCGCCTTTTATTCTGTGAGCGTCCTCACCGCACAGAGCGAAGAGGTATTCAGGTCACCTGGAATGTCCTTGGTGAGCTGTGCAGTAAGATCATGTGCTCCATACTTCCACCAGAGCTGAACGTGAGAAGGGTCCCTCCCCGAGCCTGGCACAGTCAGCACCACGCTGGTCCACGCCGAGCTGATCAAGGCAGTGCACGGTGCAGCGCCTCTCGAGTGCTCTGCTTTTACTTTGCAGTTTGTTGCAGACGAGTGCTTTTGTGAGCTGTGATGAAACGGACGGCTGCCAAAGGACCGCGCCTTTGAATCTCTGCAATGCCAAGTTGCTGATACAGGTTTCTAAATTCCTCCTTTCAGTGCCCATACTCAATCTGCTGTCCTGCACCACTTTTAGACTGGCCCTGGGACACACTTGGAGTAGTACTGGCATAGAGCACTGTTCCTGATTTCCATCTGTGAGCTCCAGTGGGTCCTTGGGCACCTTTGGACAGGTCTGCATGTGTGCGTGTTTCTGGGCAGGGTGCCGTCGCTGATAGAATTCTCTTTGACTGTTGTTACACCGCACAGTGCGTTGTATACTGGACTCTGCTCATGCCAGAGGTGTGTTTTTTTGACTCTAGGTGCCGTTGTCTTTCTTTTAAAATTCATAGTTTTATTGTTGAAATAACAGTAAACATCAATATTAAGGAAATTCAAGGTAAAAACCATACATAATTTTATATTACTCTTTAGAGAATTCTTATATGTATTGTGTTCTTACGTTTTCAGTTTTCCTCACAATACATGTATAATTGGTTTTTGTTTTTTTAGTTAGATACTGTATTAAAAACATTTTTCACATTGCTATTTGGAGTTCACATTTGCGCTCTTTAATGGTTTATTATTTGATCACGTAGGAAGTCTGCTCATTCTGCCTGACTTACGGAGTGTCAGAGGCCCGTGTGCTTCCACGTGGTGACCATAGCAACTGGCCTGACTTCCGAGGCTGCTTTCTTCACCGTGGGTGTCAAGCGCCTGGCTCTCTTCAAACTCTTCTCTCGCCGATGATCACCTTGATTACTGCTAAACTACCTCTTTCTTTCACTGGTTTGACTTAGGAACTTCCAAGACCCCACAGGCTCTGTGTGATTGTTTGTCTTTCTCACTCACAGTTGGTTTCAGGCCTCACCTTCTGGGTTGGAGGCCAGTTTGTATCACTGTCCATACATGGCCAAGTGAGATCCTGCTCCGTTAAGGAGCACATCTGTTGCCTCCAGTCTGAATTCCTCCATGTAATTGGATTAGAGCCTCTTCTGTGGTTTGTCAGGTAGATGTGGTTGTGTTTCCTTGCAGCACGTGCACTGTGTTCAGGGTTGAGCAGTGAAGCCAGGCATAGGGGGTCTCTTCTGCAAGAGCCTCTGTTTGCTTGTGACCTGGCTCTTCAGTCACCAGAACGTTGTCTTTGATCCTGTCTCTGGGTCTGGGAGGCCCTGGGCTGTGCTGCTGGTGAGACTCGGGGAGCAGGTCAGTGGAGGCTCAGCTCCCAAACGACCTCAGGGAACGCTCGTTTGCAGCTGGATAGCGCCCTGATCAGTTCAGGCTATGAAAACGTCTCTGATCTTTGTTTTGCTTCAACTGAGACACATATTCTTGCTTTTCTCAACTTCACTACGCTTTGGATGTTTTCATGTGCGTATCTGCAGTTTGGGTCCCAGCTCAGCTGGCTCCCACTTTGGAGTCATGTCTAAGACGTGATTCTGCTGATAGCCTGCTTTCTGCTTGTCAGTGGACCTCACCTTCCTCAGCATTTCATTTCTGCAACAGTGTAAACATGACTTCTACAGGCTTTGTGTTAATAAAAGACAGTAAAAAATACTTTTAAAACAGAATCAAATCATTGTCCTTAACATTCAGTGTATTTATGATTATGTGATCTGATAATCCAAATATCTTCACTCTCTGGGTTCCTGTACTGTATATTACAAATAGATTTTTGTTGCTGTTAATCCTCACCCGCAGATATTTTTAAATTGATTTTTAGCTAGAGTGGAAGGAAGGAGGGAGGGAGAGAGAGACAGAAAGACAGAGAGAGAAAGAGAGAAAAACATCGATGTGAGAGAGACACAGGGATTGGTTGCCTCCAACACGACCCCGACCCGGCCTGGGACCTGAACACGCAGTCCTTTGGTCCTTAGCCAACAGTCACTGAGCCAAACCAGCCAGGGCTCACAAACAGATTTTTTAAATGAGTAGAATTTGGTTGGTTTGTGAAGGTGTTTAGAAACCAGAGCTCTTGCCCTGGCCAGTTTGGCTCAGCGGTTAGAGCGTCGGCCTGCGGTCCCGAGAGACCCGGGTTCGGTTCCCGCTAAGGGCACGTGCTTCGGTTGCAGTTTGTCCCCGGCCCTGGTTGGTCGTGCGGGTGGCAGCCACTCGATGTGTCCCTTCACGTCGATGTTTCTCTCTCTCTCTCCCTTCCTCTCTCTCCCTCCCACTCTATCTGTACAAAAAAATGGAAAAATATCCTCGGGTGAGGATAAAAAAAAAAAAAAAAGAAACCAGAGCTCTTGAGTTTGCATTTCAGCTCTGAATTCTCTAGCTCATGACAGGTCATCCGACTGAGCTTTGTTTCTTGATCCATAAGAGGAGCGATGGTAGTTCTCACTTCAGAGAACCGCTTGTTCACTGAGATGCCGTCTGTGAAGGTCTTAGTAATTATCAGGGACACCCCACACAGTTGCTGACTGCGGTTTCATTTAACGTGCATGATTCCGGAAGGGGCGGTGAGGGTGGGAGCAGCTTCAGGAGACTGGGGGAGGAGTCCCTTGCAAATGTGGCACAGAGCAGGGAACAGAAAGAGACATGGAGGTGCTCTGGCTCTGTACCAAAGAGTGAGGATTTGGAGTTACTGTTGCTCTTGGGGTTACAGAGAAACCTTTATTGAATGCCAGAAAATTGTCCCTTACTTTAGTTTTGCTTTCTTAAAATGCTGACCCAAGAAGACTAAATTAGTAACTACTCTGTTGGTTATTCTGTTAAAATTCCTTTGAGAGTTAATTATTTTGGTATGCTAAGGGCTATTAAATTCTATATTGGTCTTTTTAGGTGAACCTACTCATAACATTCCCCTTAATTGGCTTTGTTTTCAATTAAGTGTTAACTTTAATTCAAACATTAGGAACTACTTTGCTGTGACATTTTGTGGGAAATGCTTTACCTTGGTTCTTTGATTCCTGAGTGACAGAGAGAAGCCTTTCCTCTTTACTTTCTCATATTTATTTATAATAAATAGTACATTGAAATTACATTTTATCTGTGTATCTGAAACTTAAAACTTTCCCCCTTAAAAATGATGGCAAACTGCCTGGCCGGTGTGGCTCAGTGGATTGAGCGTTGTCCCATGGCCTGAGAGATTCCTGGTCAGGGCACATGCTCAGGTTGTGGGCTCAATCCCCAGTGGGCGGGGGATGCAGGAGGCAGCTGGTTGATGTTCCTCTCTCACATCGATGTTTCTATCTCTCTCTCTGAAAAATCAGTAAAACTTTATTTTTTTTAATGATGGCAAACTGTATGTTGACCTGAGCAGTTTATGGTGGGAAGTACTCTGTTCCTTAGCTAGTACAGGTGACTGTCTGAACCTTAAGGAGCCCCATCTAGGAGGGTCGGGGCCTGCAGCCCACAGCCCGACTCCTAGGATGCCTGGCTGCTAGTACACTGTGTTCTGAGTACCTCAGACATTTCAAAATGGAAAACAAATAGAAAAGGATACTTTTCTTTTCCCATGTGTTTACCTTCTCATTGTGTTTATTTTTAGGGATGCTTCTTACTGCCAATGAAACCCCCAAGATGGGCATCTATTACATTCCGGTAAGTAGAACAAATAGGACAAGCAGAGATACTTTATTTTTAAGCTGGACATATTGAGGACTTTGGGTCTGTACATGGCCATGTGAATTATACACAGTGGTTCACTTTGCTTCCTGGGGCCATTAAAACAAAGCTTAGCCATTCTTTTTTTTTTTTTTTTTAATCCTCACCTGAGGACATTTTTCCATTTTTTGTTCAGGTAGAGTGGGAGGGAGAGAGAGGAACAGAGAGAGAGAGAGAAACATCGATGTGAAAGGGACATATCGAGTGGCTGCCACCCGCACGACTGACCAGAGCCGGGGACAAACTGCAACCGAGGTACGCGCCCTTAGCGGGAACCGAACCCGGGTCTCTCAGGACCGCAGGCCGACGCTTTAACCGCTGAGCCAATCCAGCCAGGGCAGCTTAACCATTCTTTTATGAGAAACTACTGAATAGCACGTTGAGATAGACATTAGAAATTAGTCCATATTCTTCAGATTTACATTTGTTCTTTGTTTTCAGGTATTTTGTAATCTTAAACTTTCAGTTATTAGTGAGCAAGGTCAAATTCTGAAATAAAAAGCGAATACTCTTCCAGTCACCTCACTGTAGTTTGTTTCTTTTAAAAATAAGTTAAATAAAAAGAAACTTTTAGATTGGCGTGAGCAATGGTGATGTGCAGTTTGCAATCCTGTTTTTTCGTTTCTTAAAGAATTTTTCTCTTACACGTGCTGGAAGCTTCCCCACCTTTACCTTTTAGTTTATGGTAGGAAAGAAACTTGGGGAATGCAAGCTCCTAAACAGAACACTGCGTAGTACCAAATTGACATTAGATTATGGCCAGCAAACATCTCCCTCTTGGAGCTTTGGGGAGAAGAGGGAGGGCGAGGGTGTTGCAGATCAGAACTTGAGTGATGAGCTCTAGAACCATTGTCAGCCCCAGTCAGGAAAAGTCTTCATGTGTATGATGGGCCTGTGACAATGGCTCAACCATGCGTGTGTCCAAATAAGTTTTCTGGCTGGTGTTGACTTTCTGTGGTTTTAGGAAACCAATTTGTGGTTGAAAGCACCTTGAGGTGTTTCTTTTGGTTGTTAGTAGAATAAAGGCCATTCAAACTGCAGCTTTTTCATTTTCCTAAGTTATTTTTTCCTTTTGCCCAAACTCTCACAGATATGTCTTTCATATTGCTATCAGTTTACCCATCTTCCCTTGTCTTCCTCTGTTCAGAGTTTATTGACAGCATCAACTGTGCGCCAGGCACAGTGCTGTCTGCGTGGTGTTACTGTGGGTCGGGGACTTCCCCTTTCCCCGAGGGGTCCATTCCTCAAGGCCGTGTGGCTCAGCCCAGCTCAGCCCAGTATGGGCCGGGAACTGGTGGGCAGTGTGGAGGGTACTCACACTCCTCTGGAGAAACCTTCCAGAGGAATTGACTGCTACGGAGAGGCCTGAAGGATGATTGTGTGAACCAGATGAAGAGGGTGGGGTGCAGAGCGGAAGAAGGATCTTGGAAGTGGAGGGAACTGAGCGCAGCGATCAGAGGGAAAGTAACTCACGTGGCCGAGCATTGGGGCGAGAGGACTGGGCATGAGATCTGAGGCTGAAGAGACGCTCAGCAGCCAGGTCTCAAAGCCCTGGAGAGCCGGGTGTGGCGTGGACAGGCAGTCCTGGAGAAGGGGATGGGTGTGATAGGATCGGGTTGGCATTTTGGGAGGATGATTTGGCTGTGCCACAAGAATGGATCAGCTAGGATCTCGTCCCGAAGCAACAAGAACAGGCTGCGGCGGTTCTTTGGGAAGGTGACGGTGCCTGTGCCGCCCGGGCCAGGCCTCCCGTTCTGGTAGTTGGAGCCCTTGGGGTCCTGGGATAATCTGAGAGAAGGCAGTCATTGCAGAGGTTCGTCATCCTCGAATTGCAGGTGGCATGTCTCGGAGGTGTTCCTCAGTGGGGCTTGCACAGATGGCAGGAAATGCCTTCTCTCCAGAGGTGTGGCCTTCTCCCCACCAGCCCTGGGAGCGTTGTCAGGAGAGGCCTAGGAAATCGGGACTTCTCGTCCTGGGAGAAGCCTCCCTTCATCTTCTGGGACTGCTTACTATGCTTCGATCTTTAACCACCCCTGCAAGCCAGTGTCTTCCGTGCAGAGCCTGTTCCCATGTCAGGACTCGGCCGAGTCAGTCAGGGGAAGGCAGAGCGGAGGGCGGCCCTTGGGGGGGCTCTTGCCCAGAGGGCGGGAGACCCCAGGGGGGGCAGTCCTGAATGCTTGGCAGTACGGCCATCTGCCAGCTTGTGCGAAGGTGCACAGTTCGGGCAGCCTTGGGAGGGTTGTTTGTGAGGTAGGCCTGGCAACCAGTCAGACGTGGGCAGCAGGAAAGAGGAAGGCACTGAAGGTGACAGCCGCTCCAGCTTAGGTAGGGAGGAGCTCGCGCGAGGCCGGGAAGAGAAGGGCAGTCGTGCGAATTGTCTTCCCTTGGGATCACGTTCTGCATTTTATAGAATGACCTTTCCAAGGAACAAACACGTGGTTTTTTTGATTATGCAAACATTGTATGCATATTCCTATTCCAAGTGTTATAAAATATAAGAAAGTAAATACCATTATTTCCCCCTTGATAATAAGCACTATAATATTTGGATGTACTGTCTTTCAGTTATGCTTATAAAGTTATGTGTGCAAAGTCAGGTTTTATATACTAATTTATATTTGTGGAAATATTCTAAGGCATTAAAATTACTTAAAACATTTTAAATGATCTCCATTACAGAATCTGAGAACTTTGGGAGACCCATTATTCATTTCCAACTCTCTGGGTCTGTTTCTCAGAGTGGGCTTTATGTTCCAGTGGTGGGACTTCATTAGTGTGCGTGAGAGGAGCCGTACGCTAGCCAGGAGGAGGATCTGCTTTCTTGACAAGTGTTAGCTTATCTTATAAGACTTTAATTTCAGCCTTCTAACTCAGATTTACCAGAAAGTTGTGCCAAAATCCAGAGATGCCTCCCAGGTGACGGCTGCCTGTGGGGCAGTGCAGGCTAAGTCACTCCTGCTCACTGAGCACGTGCGGAAGCTTGTCCCAGGCTCCCGGCTCCTTCCTGACTCCCTCGCGCCTCGCGACGTTTCATGGTGCCACTGCCTCTGCCTGGAACCTGCTCTTTGCAATGCTCCTTCAAAGCCAGGGGAGCCCAGGGGCCTGGAGCCTGCCGCTTTTCATAAGATTGTGTCAGACTACCGAGCTGATATTTGGCACAAAGGCATTTGAAGCCTGCAGAACCAGAGAGTTTAATATGTGATTCATGCCAAGCATAGGAGGTTTGGACTCTGGTTTGTATTAACATCTTATAAATCAGGTATGAAAACTTTCTACCTTTGAGGCTGTGCTAAGCATTAAGACAGCCTAATGTTCTTTTAGCTTGTTAATTTTTGCCTTTCTGTTTGATACCATCGTTCTTGAATACTTGAACTTTTTATAGATTAAATGCAATTCCCGATTTACACACACTCTGCCACTCACTTATCCCCATAGCTAACTAGTCTTTTATGGCCAAATAGGTTTTCTCCATTCTTTCTCCCATTTTCTCAGTAATTCTCCTGTTTTGCATCCTCAGAGACCAGGATCTATTATTTTGTTAGTTTGCTTTTTATTTTTTAAATGTTTTTATTGATTTTTTTTTTTTAGAGAGAAAGGAAGGGAGAGAGAGATAGAAACATCAACGTGAGAGAGAAACATCAGTCGGCTGCCTCCTGCATGCCCTCCTCTGGGAATTGACTGGGAATCGAACTGGGACCTCTCAGTCCATGGGACGACACTCAATCTGCTGAGCCACACTGGCCAGGCTGTTTGTTTGCTTTTTAGATTCCATGGCCTAATTCAACTGTAGCTCCTGAGACTTAATGCCAGAAATTGTTTCCGTAGTCTGTTTTTCCTCTGAAATGCAATTTAATCTTAGGTTGGTTCTTTATAATTAGCACCGTTGGTAATTGTGTGGGCTCCAGAGGGACTCCAAGTCTCCTTTGACACCCAGCCCAATCCCAGCCAGTGTGGTTAGTGTCATTTCTTCTGGAAATGTTCTCCGTGCCAAGCCCCCAGCATCTGCCAGCTCCTGAGGCCAGTCATTACTGGATAGTTGATTGCTTGGGGGTGTGACAGATATACGCCAGAATATGATTTTTATACAGAATAATGAGGATCAGCTTCCTTGCTCTGATAGTACTTTCTGATCAGCCAGATCTGAGAACCTTGGTGCGACACAGTCCTTGTGTTTGGGAGTGCTGACACGTTTCTCAGAGTAATGCTTTCTCCAGAAGATTTCATGGTGATTCTGTTAAGAGGCTAAACTTCCTAAGAAAATATGGAAGGAGAATGTGAAAGTAAGGACACTTAACTTTCAATGGATTATTTTTAAAATGTGTCCAAAAGTTGACTTTACATCTGGGGTAGGATGGACTTAACTGATTTAAAAGCAGTACCTTTGTTTTTCTTTGTGTGTGTACCTGTGCTCTTAAGCTGGAGGTGCTGGAAATGCTGTGAGTGTTCCTCCCTACGATTTGGATTTTCAGTCTGCTCCATGATTTGTCCAGTGGGTATGTTTCAATGCAGAGCCAACACTGAAGGCTCATTTATGTTTACTATTGTGATACTTGGAGAATGTCCCAGATATGAGAGCTCTTTGGCCCACTAGAATATGTTGAAATGGCCCCGAATATATTAGTGCCCGTGCAGAATCCTGAAAGTGACCCTCACATTTGTATCTAAATGCTTGTGTAAGCAGAGAGCTGTCAGACGCAGTGGCAGAAGTGATTCTGTTAGGGATTCTGTTTGTCCAGGAGCAGCATATTCTCTGCGTACAAGAAGGTGGTGCCCAATGAAAGAAAACTATCCCCTGGGGAGTTTGCCAGCTTACAAAAGATGTACAGGATGGAACACAAACTGAACCAGTAGTTGCTGGAATGTTTCCTCACTAAAGGATTTTCAGCATGCCCTAAAGAACAAGGGAAGCTTTCAAAACACAACATGAGGACAGGAAG